TAGGCAAGCAAGTTTGGAATCTAATATAGTATCCTAATACGCTAGTATATTAAGGCTGGTAAAGGCTATGTACTATCCTCATTCGACCATTTTTACAGCAAAGGAAGGGAATAATCCTAGCAACTTGTGGAGCAACTTAATGGCAGCTAAGGATATGTTGAATACTGGAATGAGGTGGAAGATAGGGAAGGTGGAGGATGCCATAGTTGGTGAGAAGAATGGGTCCTAAATTCTCAAATTAGGTTACTTGATATTATTTGTACTATACATACTTTAATAGACCTTATTGACAATGCATCCGTTGTAAGAGATGAAGGGGGTCAAAAGAAGGCAGAGAGGCGAAGGCATTGAGATGAATAAAGTCGGTATAGATGGAGAAGAAAAGAGAGAATTTTTTAATTTTCTGAAAAATGTAAATAAAAATTCACTCGTTGGTTATATGTACCATATTTTTTAATTTTCCGAAATTTCCTTAAAGACTTGCCTCTATCTCTTGTGATAGAGTTAGGGAAGGATCAACCTTCAATTTAGTAGAATAAAAAAAGGGATGAGGGAAGCTCTCCCCTCTCTCCTACGCCTTGGGTGTTCAATTGGGAGCCTGCTGATCGCGCTGGTGTTGATGATCCTCTCTACATGTTTGTCTAATCAAACGAAAAATTGGTGGAACTACAAGACTGATCGATCCCAACCTAATGGGGTGAAAGTGGCAGCGAAAGGCGTCAAATTCTTGGAGCCGGCAAATCGTCGCCTCCATCGCGTCGTCCTCCGCAAGCACGGCGACGATGCCAAAAATGAAGGCTGTCCCCTGAGAGGGACTAGTAAAAGGAAGCTCGGGCGTGTCCTGGCAGAAAATGACATGTTTTGTCTCACAAAATCTAAACGCCGACGACTACCCAAGGGGGTCGCCTGGCGATTCCAAATTCCTTCGTCGGAGGATTTGATGATTGAAGAGTTGGTCTATTTACGACCACTATTGTTAGCCCAGCTTCTGGTGCATGGAATAATTGCTAAGAAGGTGGTGCGGAAAATGACGTCTAATGCACCATGTCGTGTCGCCAACGTTGCGACGCCGAGCTCTATTCCCATTATGGAACAACGGTGGTGTCCAGCTTTTCCCGGTGACCGGAGAACCGAACCTGGGAGTATTCGTAACTGTGAGCGTACAACTTGGGATGAGATTGGGCGAAAATCTGCTCCAGTCTGGAATCCCGCGATACTAGGGAGATATGCTCGACGCGTTATCCCGTTGTCGTTGGTCAAGAGTCCCACTCTCAGTTCCCTTCTTCATAACAGAGCGGTTGACGTAAGCCCTAATGAGGGGGATTTTTCCTTAATAACTCTATGCCCTAAACCATACAATCTACTCATCCCTTCGCGAGTAGTACTTCTGGCAGCCAGAGCTTCTCCGGAAATCCCCGACTCCAAGCTTAGTCACTGCTCAGGTAGCTTTCTATCCCCTTCCTTAATCCCTCCACACCTGAGTCCTACGTTATTTCTCAACATGAGGCGAGCCGTCTCCAAACGTCCCCGAGATGATATTGTGACGTCATACGGGATGGGGATGGTATATCCTTTGCCTACTGATAAAGAGGAGCCTTTTCCTCGCCCCTCTTCATCTTGCTTGCAGGATCGAAAGATGGCCCACGTGACATCTGATCAAGTTGTTCAATTCTCTATGAAGGAGGTTCAATCCTCCAAATACCGAGCTGCGCACTCTCTCTTGGGCCGTGTGTTTACTGAGAACAGAGTCTCCACCACCGAACTGAGAGAAGGAGTAATCAAGTCGTGGCTGATCCAAGGCCGACTCCGAATTGTTTTGGCCAAGCATGGCTTGATCGAATTCGTGCTCCCTAGTGAGGAAGCTAAGACATGGGTACTGAAGCGTATTCCATGGGTGATCAATGACAAGATCATTCATCTCTGCCCATGGACTCCTGTTGTTACGCATAAGACCTTCGATGACCTTGTAGTAGCTCCATTTCGGATTCAACTATGGGATATTAAGGAGGACTGTTGCACTCAGCAGTTCGGGAGAAAAGTGATAACTGCTACTATCGGTAGAGTCATGGAGTCTGGTGTTTTTGCATGCCATGACACGAGGCGCTGGTTCGTGAAAGTCAAGACAATGATCGACTTCACAAAACCCCTCCGTTCACAGATTATGGCTGCTAACGATGATACTGGGTGTTTTTGGGTGAACCTGAAATACGAATATCTCCCCAGCTTCTGCTACCATTGTGGTAGGGTGGGACACTTTCAGCAATCATGTTCTTTCGATCCACCTACTCGCAAAGAGAAACTTGGGCCTCACATGTCAACTCGGAATTTGGGAATGCGAGTATATGATTCGAAAGACTATAAGCAGTCTTTCCCTGGGGGGAACTCGGTATGGGTTAACAGGGACTTAAAGGTAGGGATGGCAATGGGTCGGGTTGGGTCGGGTTTTGCCAAACCCAAACCCAAACCCATGGGTTTATCTTTGAAAAAAACCCGGGGTAAAACCCACCGGGTTTGAAAAACTCAAACCCAACCCAACCCGTTGGGTATCCGTGCGTTCATGGGTACCCACGGGTTTTGTCGTAAAAAATTTACAATTACAAGTTCTTATCAAAATTAAAGTCAAATATCAATCTCTCAATACAAATTATCCATATATAAAATACCATTCTAGAAAATTCAAACAAATCACAAATTAACTATACAAATTGTTCAACACCAATCTAGAAAACTTAAGAAGATTGAAGCAAATCACAAATTATCCATAAATAACATATTTAATTGAAAGCTTCTTTCTTTCAATTAAGTTTCTTTAGTCTCCACTCCATAACATCAACTTCATTCTACACATTTAAAAAGAAAAAAATTAGACATGTCTCCACAAACATAAATAAGAATAGTTGTTTAGAATATTAAATATACCTAAAAAATTAATTATATGAGTGGGCGGGTACCCACGGGCCGGGTTTACCTAAACCCAAACCCAACCCAACCCGATAAATAGTGAACGGGTTTTAACCCAAACCCAGCCCAAAACCCGTCAACACGGATTTTACCCGCGTTGACCGGGTTGGGTCGGGTGGGTACCCGTGGGTTCGGGTTTTGTTGCCATCCCTACTTAAAGGGGCTTAAGAATGAGGCAGGTGGTAATGGTGAGCTCCCTGGTGACAAGAATAAGATGACTCGGGACCAAAATCAGGTGCCTTTCTCTCGACTCCGCCAGCTACAAGCAGGAGCGAGTGAATTGGTACGCCGCCAAAGCCCGCGATTCAAGGTGGCGAGATCGCCAAAGGTTCGGCTTGGACATAAGCAGCATGCAGGTCCGTCCTCCCATTCCCATGCAGAAGGATCTCGTCATGGACGAGTCCATAGGGAGGCGGGGGATGGCTCGGAAAGGGGTGGACATTATGATGCTGAACGGCGACAACGTCATCATGTGGTAATACCGGCTGGGGATACTTTTTCTGATTCGGACCCTGAAGATGATGATGCCCAGCTTGACGATTTAATGATTTGGAGACAGTCCTGGTGATGGGAGAGCGGAGGAGAAGGCTTCTGTTGGACGAGTCAGACGATGAATTTGTCCTACCAGCTGCTACCCCGCCAGCTGTTGTTCAGCCAGCGATCCCCTCTCTACCGTTGAAGCTTAGGGATGGGAAACCTAACCGGGATTTAGGGTACCCGCCCGAAACCGAGCCGGTCAAATCGGACAAAACCCGCATTGACCGGGTGACGGGTCGGGGACGGGGAAACCCGAATATTGTAGCTTACGGTGATGGAGCGGCTACGGATTCCTTGCTATCCGCCCCGATGGCCGATCCGTACCCGCCCCGACCTCCCAAATCTCTTGTCCCAGTACAGCCAGATCCTTCATCGTCGATCCAATTAAGTCAAGAGCTGTGTGAAACTCCTTAATTGTCCAAAGGACCTTGATTCTCGTCGATTCTTCCTTCCAATTTCATCTTTGCGTGATCATCCGGCGGCTTAGAGAAGCAAAGATCTCTCCCACGATTGGCTTAATCCCCAAAATCAGTTCGTATTCTGATATTCCCCCGAGAATTTTCCGATTTCCAATTCATGGGGTCTGCATTACCTACCCTAAATTGCTAAATCTTTCCCTAATCATGATGCATGCCTTCAATCCCAGCATGTATAAATACGGAATGGCCTCTGCAGATCATCTCACTCATCGCCTCCCTTGCCCCTCCGATCTTCAGTTCTCTATCTCTGCTCTCATTCCCATTTACAGAAGAAACCCTAAATCAGCAGATTGGCAGATTGCAATCAGCAGCAACCAGCAGCGGCAAAGTGAAAGCATTGAGCAAACGAGCACTAGAGGTGGGTTTTGTTGATTTCAAATTTTCTTTGGTTCTGTGAGACTTGACTGTAATTATATGCTCGAGCTGCAGCCATGTACGCCTGTAGGAACTCTCATAATGAATGCTTTGTATGTCTTGTGTGCAGTGGCAAAGGGAAAACAAGGACTCGAGGTGGACAAGTGGACAAGTGGGTTTCTTGATTTTTATTTTATACTATTGTTTTCTTTGGTTCTGTTACTTCTGTATATACATACTTGAGTTGTAGGAGTTATCATAATTCATAATGGATGGTTTGTGTGTATTTTGTGCAGTGGGGAAGGGAAAGCACCGAGAAGTGAGAACTCGAGGTAGCTTGGTGGGCTTCTTCATTTCAAATTTTCACTGCAGTTTAGTTTTCTTTCGTTCTGTTTCTATTGTAATCATATACTCAACCTGTAGGAGGTTATCTTAATGGATGCTTTTTGTCTCTTTTGTCAGCTTGTGCAGTGGTTTTGCAAGTGATTAATTGGGAGCCATGTCTGATGTGCCACCTCCAGTTCAAGGCCCCCAAGGGCAACCACCAGTTCCAGTTGCATTTGCTGCCGAGAATGGAATGGTGATGGAGAGGCAGCAGTTGCTCAACCTCAGAATGGAGAAGTTGCGCCCCAACCTCCGAATGCCCCACTTATCATTGATGAGGAGGTAATTGACACAGCCAAACTTAAGAGTCTGGTTTGGAAACATTTCAAAAAGATTAAGGTGAAGAATCTATGGAAGGCTAAGTGTAACTACTGTGGAAAACTATTAGGAGGGGATTCTAGTAATGGCACATCTCATTTGAAAAGTCATACCTCCAGTTGTCTCCATAGGAAGATTCATGAAGGCAGTCAAAAGATTTTAGGGCCGAACTATTTGGCCAAAGGGAGAAAGGACTTGCTTGCCTCTGCTTTTGATGCTAGTGCTTCTAAGAAAGAACTTGCAGTAGCTATCATAATGCATGAATATCCCCTTTCCATGGTTGATCATCTATATTTCAAGAGGTTTGTGTGCTCTCTTCAACCCATGTTTAGTGTTCCTACTAGGAACACTATGAAAAAGGAGATATTTTGTGTTTATGAGAGTGAGAGAAAAAAAATCCAGAAGGTTATTGATGAGAACAAAGGAAGGATTGCCATTACAACAGACATGTGGACTGCAAGTAACCAAAAGAAAGGTTACATGGCTGTAACAGCGCACTATATTGATAATTCCTGGAGTTTGAGGAGTCATATGCTCAGGTAAAATAGTTCATTGTAAGTTAATGCTTAAATACTTAGCTTTTTGCAACTAATAGAATTCTGATCTTGTGTTCTTTTGTTTGTTTGTTTATTTTTTGGACAGGTTCAACTATGTTCCTGCTCCTCATTCTAGTGATAGACTTGCATCTGTCTTGGTCAATTGCATATGCGATGATGAGAAAAGATCAGAGATGGTGCACTTCTGCATATCTGTTGAGGGATGGTGCACTTCTGCATATGCGATGTTCAGCTCATATATTGAATTTGATAGTCAAGGATGGATTAGATGTGGTGAAGGATGGTATTGAAAGGATCAGAGATAGTGTGTCTTATTGGTTGGCTACACCCAAAAGACTTGAGTTTTTCCAAGAGACTAGTAAACAATTGCGTGTTCCATGTGAGAAAAGATTGGTTTTAGACTGCCCTACAAGATGGAATTCCACATTTCTAATGCTGGCCATTGCTATTCCTTACAAAGACGTGTTTAATAGGCTTAAACAACGTGACCCTCAGTATGATTGCTTGCCTTCCAATGATGATTGGTTGTTTGCTTCGATTGTTTGCGAGAAGCTCCATTGTTTTACCCTGGTTTCTGATCTATTTTCGGGGTCAAAATATCCAACATCAAACTTGTTTTTTCCTCGTATTTGTGATTTGAGGATTAAAATATGTGAATGGATGTTTGATCCCAATGAAAAGATTCAATGTATGGCTGAACTAATGTGAGCAAAGTTCAACAAATATTGGGAGGTGATCCAACAGATTTTGGCAGTTGCTGTTGTGTTAGACCCCCGGTATAAACTTGACATTGTCGAGTACTATGCTGAAAATTTGGGTCTAGATGGTAGTTCATCATTGAGTGCTTCAGAAATAAAAGGCATATAGGGAGATTTGGTGGTTGAATACCGATCAAGGGTGAATGGTAAAATTCCTGCTGCCAATGGGAATGATCTGCCTGCAATGTCTAGTACTACAGATCTGGATTTTTACAAGAGACATTCTTGTTGTTCCTATCACTTCTGTTGCATCAGAATCTGCCTTTAGCTCTGGAGGCAGATTATTAGATCCACATAGGAGCAGGCTCCATCAGTCTACTGTTGAAGCTCTAATGTGCACGAGGACTTGGCTACAAGATAATGGTAATTTCTATCTTCATTTTAATTGTAGTACGTTCAAGGTTCTTCATCTTAACTTACTGCAAATGATTTAATTTTTTGTTACATGCTGTTTTTTTCCAAGTAGAGGGGAGCAGTGATGATGGTGTAGGGAATTTAGAGGGTTGCTTCTCCTCATTAAGTGAAACGTGCATGGTACAAGCAGAGGCACTAACTGAATGTGCAATTCTAGAAGGTTTCTACAATTACACTTCCTTCATTTTCTTTTATTAGCTTTAGTAGTGATCAGAGTTTAGTGTTACTAAGAATTGTATCACTTGTGCATTTAAAATGAAGACAATGCTCCAAGGAACAGGACATACAACCTAGATGATGTGGACTAACTTCTAGACGCATGATGTTGCTGTGTTAGTGGTGAGTTGTTGCGAAAAATGGCTTTCTGTTGCTGTTGAATTTATAATACTTCATTGCTGCTGTGAATTCATTTTCTTAAATAATTGTGAGAAGAATGCATTTTGTTGAGAAGAATGGTTCTTTGCAGGTCCGGTTTTGTCTGTGTGCTGCCGTGGTGTGTGGATTTCATTCTTCTGCTGCTGTCGGATTCAATATGTTGCTGGGTGCTTTTTTTGTTGCTTCCAAGTTGAGAGGAAGGTTGCAGAGTGTTGCTCTATGTCATTTTTTGCTGCTGAAGGTGTTGGCTTGGTGTTGCTGCTGAAGATTGGAGCTAGCTTGTTGTTGCTAGTGAAGAATGTTGCTGCTGTCGTTTCTTTATGCATTTGAGTTGTTGCAGTTTAGTAGCTTAGTTGGACCTAGGGATTGGATATTAGTTTGGAGTGGAATTTGATTGTTATGTTTTTGAGTTGTTGCTCGTTAGCAGCTTAGTCTGCAGACAGGGATTGATGTTATTTAATTAGTTTGGATTTGATTATCATTGTCCTTGTTGAATGTCAAGTTGCTGCAACTTCTCTGACTCTCAGGAAGGATACTTGGTTTTATATATGATTAAAAGCAAGCTCATTAAGAAATCTACAAGTAGTACCAGTAGGATATAAAACTTAAAAACAAACTCAATTGAATTTGGGCTTGAAGAACACTGCTGGGCCTAGGTTAAGCATTAAAGCAACGGGTATTTTGTGGGTTGCGGGTAAACCCGTTACCCGGGGACGGGCGGGTGATGGCAGGATTTGTCTCCCCGACTGCTGCTGCTTGGCAAATTATAATCCGACCCGGATACCTAACGGGCGGGGCTTGGATACGGGGTAACCGCCCCCGATCCGCCCCGTTGCCAACCATATTGAAGCTTCTTGTCGCTGGTAGTGGCAAAAAACAATTGGGAAGGAAACTTAAAAAGATGGGGGATGCCTCTTACCTGCCAGACCCTCAGGGTGAGAGCAAGCTTGCAGTAGTCTCGTCCAAACCTCAGCGAGGGAATGCTTTGGGCCGAACTCGTGTTGCGGCAGGCTCGAGCAGTAAGGTCCAAGGTCGGCGAAAGGGTCGGAAGGCGAAAAGGGAGTCCCATCAGGAGGGTAATGTTGTACCCATATTGGTGAAACCTCTTGAAGAGGCTGCGGACGCTAAAGATGGAGAGGGGGTTCTTTCGGGCGAGGGTCTGCAGGTGAAGGGGGCTGCAGCGCTTGCTGAATCCTCCTCGGAGGACGATGCCCAACTTTTTGTGGTATAAAGCAGATCTTCGCTGGTGAGCCATCCTCCCCAGATCAATGATGGGAAGGTTAAACAGGTGGTGGCTGCCTTTGAAGCCGGAATGCGGATTAATGTTGAGAATGACCCTATGACGGAAGCAGAAGGTGAGATGATTATCAAATTGAATGAGTATGGTTCCAACCTTGAGGATGGGGGCAATGGAAAACGGAAGCGATCCGTGGAGGAGCTAGGGGGCGTGGAGGATGTTGATCCTTCCCCCAAGAAGTAGTTTATGGAAACTCCTAATGGGAGTGAACAGGTGGAGGAAGCCAGCCTCGAGTGGCCCCAGTCGATTAAATGAGACTTCTGGCCTAGAATGTGAGAGGAATTGGACCATCTCTCACGTTCCAAACTGTTGTTGGTTTAGTTCGGTCGAATAATCCGGACCTTGTTTTCTTTTCGGAAACAAGATCGTCTCGGAGAGTAGTTTCTCGATGTATGCGGGGCTTAGGTTTTGAAATTTCTCAATGTTTCTTTGTTGATGCCATTGATGTATCTAGTGGTTTAGTTTTGGGTTGGTCCCCCGGAGTCGATGCTTCGGTGTTTTTTCATTCTAGTTTTTGCATTTGTGTCAGAATTAATGAAATGGATTTGTCGTATGTTGTGATTGGTGTTTATTTGAGCTGCCATGCGCAGGTTCGTGTCCATCAATTAAACCAATTGCGAGAAATTTGTGAGAACCTTCACCTTCCTTATGTGCTCATTGGCGATTTGAATGTTAAGCTTAATGCTAGTGAGAAAGATGGTGGTAACCCATGGTCCCCAACCCAATCGCTTGATCTGCGTAATTTCATTCAGGATTTGGGTTTGCAGGACCCAGGGTACCAAGGAGATACTTTTACCTGGACTAATAAATGAATGGGGTCGGCATATATTTGTGAAAGACTGGATAGGGCCCTTTGTTCTCATTCCTGGATCGACCGATTCCCGGATACTCTGGTCAAGCGTTTCACTTATCAGGGGTCTGGCCATCGTGCCCTTCTGCTCTCTGATAAATCTTATTCAAGGAACTGCCGCCCTCTGTTTCGTTTTGATGCCCGTTGGGCAAATATTCCGGAAGTCAAGGCTATGGTAACGTATGTGTGGTAGGAGACGATTCATGGTACCCCAATGTTTCTAACTTTGGGAGAGACTGAAACGTCTCCGGCATTTGCTCTATGACTGGAGTCGAGCAGGCACGACCAATTCATTGCGTAATATCCATACCCTTCAAGTTGAAATCAATATGATTAAGTCGAGCCATATAATTGATTGGGATGAAGTGCGGCTTCTGGAAACGGAATTGAGTCGGCAATGGGCCGCGGAAGAACTCTATTGGCAGCAAAAATCTCGGGTCCGGTGGTTAAAAAAAGGGCGATCAAAACTCGTCTTATTTTCATACGGTCACCAGGGCCCGTAAAAATCGGAATTTTGTTCAGGGACTTCGTAGTGAATCGGGTGAGTGGATCACGGAGGAACATGGGAAAGCGGATCTTGCTGTTAACTTTTATCAGCGGTTATTCACTTCGGAGAGTCATATCAAGAATATGGTCGAAAGAGTGGCGAGCCTCCCCATTGAACCCTCGATTTCTACGGATATGAATGCCACCCTCACTCAGGCAGTTTTGCCTGATGAAATCCGTCGAACGGTATTTGCGATGGGATCTAAGCAGGCTCCAGGTTCTGATGGTTTCATGGGAAAATTTTTCAAAGCCTTCTGGGGTATTGTTGGCGACTCTTTCATTGAGGTAGTTAGCTCGTTTTTTGTGACAAGCAAAATGCTACGCAGTTTTAATCACACCTGGCTCACCTTAATCCCCAAGGTTGATCAGGTGGAAACAATGCGTCAGCTTCGCCCTATCAGCCTTTGCCAATTTGTGTACAAGATTATAACGAAGATTATGGCTGAAAGATTGGCCACTATCCTTCCCCAAGTAATTTCTGAGGGTCAGAATGCGTTTATTCGGGAGCGGCAAATTATGGATAACATCCTCATCGGGCATGAATTGATGCACTATCTAAAAATCAAAACACGCTTGAACAAAGGTTATATGGCTCTGAAGAGGTTGGGTCTTTGAATGTTTGCGCTCTAGCTCCTTCTCTGTCCTCATGAATGGTGCCCCTTCAGGCTTCTTCTCTCCTTCAAGGGGACTCCGGCAGGTGATCCGCTTTCTCCTCTCCTTTTTGTGATCTGTAGATTTGCGGCGCTTCTTCGGAAAGCAATTACGGAAGGTAAGCTAGAAGGAGTGAAGGTGGCCCCAAGAGCACCTCGTATTGCTCATCTATTCTTCGCGGATGATTCATACCTTTTCCTACGAGGGTCCCTCTAGGAATGTGAAAACTTAATCAAGGTTCTAAATGAGTATGAAGAACTGAGTGGGCAATGGATTAACCTGGATAAATCGGCAGTTTGCTTTAGTAAGAATATTGCTCTGCCGGATCAAGAATTTCTGGCTGCGATCCTGGGGGTTGGGGCGGTTGGGGTCCAGGATAAATATCTTGGCTTATCGTCCCTGATTGCCCAGTCGAAGATGGCTACGTTTCGTTATTTGGAGGACAAGTTGTTGGAAAAGCTTCAAGGGTGGAAGCGGAGAACCTTGTCGTGGGCTCCAAAATAAACCTTGATTAAGGTCGTAGCACTGGCCCTTCCTTTGCATGTGATGTCATGTTTTAAGTTGCCCCTTTTCCTTTGTCGTCTCCTCAATAGGCATGTTGCCCGATTCTGGTGGGGTGTGGAGGAGGGTCAGCCCCGTATCTGGTGGATGTCATGGCGTAGTATGTGCCGTAGTAAACATGAGGGGGTATGGGTTTTCGTCGATTTGAGCATTTCAATCAGGCTCTCTTAGCTAAGATTGGTTGGAGAATTCTGACGGATCTCCACTCTCTGCTCTCCCAGCTGTACAAGGGGAACTATTTTCCGAATAGATCATTCTTGATGGCTACAGCCCGATCCCGGCCCTCTTGGGGCTGGCAGAGCATCCTGTTCGGGCGTCAGTTGCTTGAGTCGGGGTTGCGCTTGCAGATTGGAAATGGTCAGACTGCTTCACTCCTTATTCCTATTGGATCCCTCGACATCGTCCTTGTTGTCCTGTCTATAATCCCTGTGTGCTTTCGAGGGGGATCTGCTGGTGGCAGAGGTGATGAGTCCGGGGGAAGGTCGATGGAATGATCAGAAGCTTGCTCAGTGGTTTGACCCTCCTACGTGTCAAGCTATTAGGTATATCCCGTTACCTAGGCATAACCTGGAGGACCGTCTGATATGGGATGCTACTCTTGATGGTGAATTCACGGTTAAATCGGCTTATCATTTGGCGGTGCTCCTTGAGCATAGAGGTACTTGGCGGTCCTCTGTCAGTTGGATGGATCGAGCTAGCTGGATCAGAGTGTGGGATGCAGACCTACCTCCTAAGCTGAAGATCTTCGTCTGGCAAATCCTCAACCGTCTCTTGCCTACTACTGAGGCTCTGATTGAGAAAGAGGTTGACGTCCTTCCTAGATGTCCGATGTGTTGGGCTAAATCTGAAACTTTGGAACATTTGTTCCTGGATTGTCCAGTGGCTCGTGCCCTTTGGGATTTGACAGGCCTGCAACACCTTGGGGAAGGATTGCCAAGACATACTTTCCCTCTTTTCCTAAAAACCTTGTTGGCTAGGATTCGTCAACCCCCAGTTGTTATGGCCATTGTCTCAGTCCTCTGGCAGATTTGGCGGTCTCGGAATTGGGTGGTGTTTGAGGGAAAGCAGTTTGGGTTTCAGTCCCTGTTACGACAATATGAGCAGCAGGTTTGGGAATGGACTTCTCTGCCAAAAAACGATGCGGTCAACTTCCCTGGGGTGCTGCCCCACCCCTTCTCCATGAGGATATGGGCGTGGCTATCTGTGTGTGGGATGGGGCTACCAAAAGTGAGTCGCACTCTACAGGGGGATGGTTATCTTGACCCCTAATATGGAAATCCTTTTGGCTCAAGGAGTCTAGTTTGTAGGCTTGGATGACCCAATGGTGGCAGAGTTGCTTACTCTTCGAGAGGCCGTGTCTTGGGTCATGGGCCTTGGTTTTATGGAGATGAGATTTGAAGGTGATGCCAAAGTGGTGATCGAGGAGATTCTGAGGCCTGATACTCAAGATAACCAAGTAGGAACTATTCTTGATGAAGTTATTCATTTGATTGGTTTGAGACCGGGGTTTAGTCTACGCTTTGTAGGTCGGAGTAACAATAGGGTAGCTCATGGAGTAGCTAGGAAAGTCCTGTCCTTGTTTCGGACTGCAAGTCGTTCTTTTGATTTTCAGGTATGGTTGTCCTCCAGGATGTAACTATTTTTGTTTCAATCTATATATATATGTGATTATCTTTTGTTAAAAAAAAATTCTCTTGTGATAGAGTTTTTTATTTTCATGTATGGGTCATTTTGTTTATTTTGTTTTGCAGGAAATCTATCCTTCAATTTAGCATTTGGATGCAATCACAATGATTTCTCGGACGGAGTATTTGTGAGGAAGTGTTCTTCTCTTTCTCTCTATATCCGAGTAAGTATTGTGTCTTTTTGCTCCTGGGAGCTTTTAAAGAGATGTCCACCTAATGGTAAAAAAGACTATTTTATCGAGACTCCAATTGTATATGGACTATCGTTCTTTATTATCATAAATATTATATATTTGTTATTCGACCATGCACTGAGACTTGTCTTGATTAAATTAAAAAAAAATAGGAAAAAAACTAAAAAATGTAATTGGCAGAGGGTTAATTGTTTAATACTCAAAAATACTAATATACCCTTGAGGATCACAATGACCACCAATATGACATGGGCACCATATCCTCTGCCAATATGTTGTCCTATTGATCAGTTTCACACCAGAAGGAAGTTTGATTTGGTTTCTCAATTAGAGCTTCCCAGTTGCCAACTTGATGCAAGGTATATTCTCTGCAAAATGAAGGCAAAATGGCAACCGAAGAGATCTTTTTTCCAGGAAAAGAATTATTTTTTTAATTATCATAACTGAACGCCAAATGAATTGCGCATTCCCGACGATATATTGCTTGGGATGTCCAAGCAGAAACAAACACAAAGGAAAATCGTAAATGTCAGACGTAAATAAAATTAAAAGGCCAACTTGCAAAGCAAATCAAGTACTTTGTTTCCTTTTCCAAAATAGATAGATAGACGATAGGAAAAATAGATAATATCTATGCAACTTTGAAAACTGCATTAAAGGAAATTCAAGAAAGTAAATAATAGGCGCTTCATAATTACTTTGCATTCTAAAAGAAATCGAAGTTCGGTTGCATACGGGCTACCGTTCTTTATTATTATCAGTTTTTTTTTTTTTTTTGTTCGACCATGCCCTGAGAACTTATCTTGGATAAAAAAAAAAAATCGAAGTACATGTATCATGTCAATAAAAGCCATACTTATCCGTTGTGAACTCGTTTCTTATGCATATGCTATTCTGCAAACTTTTTTCTAAAAAATAGAAAAAAATAAAATTTCACACTGCATTTCCCGTATTTTATGGTGTTCCAAACAAACCATTTCAAAGTCATTGTGCTGGCTCTAATTTACATGTCTAGATCAATAATTGTTACCTTAGTGTAACTAGAATAATAAATTAATCCTATTTTTATACCACACCAAATTATTTCCTTGTTGTAATTTTATGTTAAAATTTGCTAAATAGTCCGTGTGCAAGTCAAGATAATTTTTTTTGGGTAAATATGTGTTTTTAGATTTGAATTGACGATGGACTTTACTGGACAAGCAGGCCAAAAGTTAACGAGAAAAGGAGAGAGGAGAGGAGAGAAGAAAAGAGCATCACTTGTGTCTTGTGTAGTCCACTCTTAGTTTAATTGTATTGTTCACAAGCTTTGTTACTGTGCTTGGTCACAATATATTGGGTTTTTTATATTTTATGTCCACTTTTGCCGTAATAGAAATTATCATTTAAAATGAGCGATAGTAAAATCTAATTTTTTAGATGAAACTGTTGAGATACCTAATATGGATGAAATTGTTGAAATATTTTTAAAAAATTCATGAGATATGGCACTTCTTTCCGGTTAAAAAAAGTTGGCGGGCCCTAAAACCTTTTGCAAGTGCAAAAGAGCTAGCCCTGATCCATCCCAAATTAGCTTGTTGAACTTAATTAATTTTGTCCACCTCTTTGAAAGTTTTTGAATAACGGCTCTACCTATAACTTATTCAATATAACCTCCCGTTCGTTTTTTATAATTCCTTCTCGACAACGTTCATGTTTGGATTGGAATAAGGGTAGTTGCTCGGAAACTGAAAATGTAAACTATTGACCGAGTTGGATCAACAGAATTAAATTATAATCCATTTTAGTATAGTAAACATGTTCAAGCAACTTATGATCGGTTACCAAGTTTTCTTTCTTAATAGGAATTAAGTTAATCACCAAGTATCTGTTCACATGTTTAGAGAGCATGCACGTGAAGATTATGAAGTCGGTCCCCAAAATTTGAATTCAGATTGAATTATTTTTATTCTGACAATTAGGAAGAGGCAAAACTTTAAAAAAAAAATTCCAAAATTCCAGATCTCATATATATACAACTTCTTCGGTTCTTCCCTCTAAACACAGCAGTTCAACTCTCTCTATGTTGGAGGAGATGGAAAAAAATTGTATAAGAGAGATTGGAAAATTCACGAGAAATTATCAATAGTAACTATTATTCTTATATGACATACATTGTAATGTGAAATGAAACATACACAGGCTTGCCAAAAAGTGAAGCTGATCATCATCATCATATGGGTTGGTGGGGAAGAGGGAGCACTTGTGATCTAGCTATTAAGCAAGCGCTACAGAGTTTCAGTACTGATCTCAAACTTGGGGCCATAGATCGACTGATTAGAGAGGAAAAATCAATGCAGTAGTAGAGCCATAAAAATGGGAAAACCCCATTAGCCCACATCTATATCGAGGGTCGAATAACCGGGTAGCTAGTAGATCCAAGAAACAGGAAGGAAAACTGAAGTGCGAAATAGTAGTAGAAGAAGAAGAAAAAAGGCAGTACAGTAGTAGCTAGGTAGGCGAAACTAGGAAGAAAGCTAGGTGGCTAGTTGTAGTTGAGTAAGCTCCTAATGAGTGCAGCTTGAGCACTGTCAGTAGTTTCGAGCAAGCCCGAGAGCCTCTCGCTCAGATCGTCCACTTCTCTGTGCAAGCTCCGGATGTAGTTGCACGTCTCCTGCAACACCTTCGCCGCCGGCACCTGTAAAATCAATCGTGACCAACGTTCAAGCTGATTAGTAACTTCTCCTTCAAACAATAATTAATGAAGTTGCTTGTAACAGAAAACATCCAGCTACGAGTGCATTTGTCTTTTACCCTTCTGAGGAGAGGGTTCTTTCATGAACGTGTTACTCCCAATAAGTTAAGTTATTGGGAGAGTGTCAGTAATGGATCTCATATCATATATTAATACGAAATTTACTCATAAAAGCTTGAAGTAGGCATCAGACACTATCTGCGGCTTACGAATGGAGATTATTGGGATTCTAACAAAAGACATCTCATTCTCAGTAGACTTTGACACTACGTCATAAATCAACTGGCCCCAATAATAAATTTTATACCAGAGGTTTGGCCATTCTTATCTGTCCCTTTCATGGAAAAGATTCTCTTGTGGTAGATTGAGAGACAAGTTAAACCCTAATTTGACTCCCTTTTTCCAGATGCAAAAACACAACTGTCTCTGGGTGAGATATACAGATGGATAGAAAGAAAAGAAAAGAAAAGAAAAGAAAAGGGTGATCTCTGAAAAAGTTAAAGGAAAAGGAGAGGGGAAGGGAAGGGAAGGGAGAATTGAAGTAGAGTGGATATGAAGTCGTTCCCTTATAGGAAGCTAGACAAGAACAAAAAGAAACCAAGAGAGGATAAAAAAGGAATATATACAACTATATATGAGTAGCCTTAGCTACAAAGTATGTATTGCAGAGTTTGCATGACTTTTTTTTAGTGTTAATTTCTTATATGACATAACTATAGTAATTAGAGTAGGTAATTAGCTAGATAGGTCAGTTACTAGCTAACAGCACATTAATTAGTAGGTGAGTTTAGGTAGGTAAGAAGGGTGATGATATTATGTATATAACAAAATATATATACCTTATCAGCACGTCTACTGTTTCTGAGCTCAGGCAGTAGCTGCTGCAATTTGGTAACAAGATCAAGGAGCTGGTCCTCTGAGATCCTCGAGCTCCCTGACTGCCTTGATCTCGACCTCCGGCTCGACATGCTTCTATATTATGCCTAACAACAACAACAACAACAACAAGAAGAAGAAGAAGAAGAAGAAGAAGAAGAAGAAGAAGAAGAAGAAGAAGGGTAGATAGAGCAGTGGTCTTGAGAACTGATGATGACGAGAAGAAGAAGAAGAAGAAGGTTTAGGTAGTGGTGTGTGGGATGAAGAAGGAGAAAGACAAGTGCATGGGAGGAAGCAATTGGGGCTACTGCCCCCTCTTCTATTTAAATAGGGTTTTCCATCTGCAACTTCAAGGAGAGAGTAGGACACTTGACACTTCTCACTAGGACTCTCCTATTTTTTTTTACTTTGGCAAATAAAAGTGAAGAAGAAAACCCAAAAAAATATGTATGAATAAAGAAAGAAGGAAAGAAAGAAAGGTGAGGGATTGAAAGAATCAAGTTTTCTAGAGATACGCCATGCCATGCTTTGCTTTGCTTACCTCTCTCCATTTGCTTGGGACACACAGTCGCAAACAAAAGGGATGGGAGGTGGGAGAGAGGAGAGAGATAAGAACACACATATCGTTGTGCTTTGTTTTAGGAGCACACGGTGTGTGTCAGTCCATACCCGCAATACCATGTTATGTTCCCCCCCTTCCTTTTCCTCCTTTTTCTTAATACCCACATTTGGGTTTTAACTAAATTCTTAGGACGATAAAAAGAAAATTTTTAAGGGTGACAATCACCCTTTTGCTGCTTTGCATATTGTTGTGGATTATTAACCTTCGAAATTTCTATAAAGTCACTTTTAGTGTGAGATGTTTTGTATTTGACGCTTATCTTCGTTAATTATTTTGTTAACCTCATAATGATGTGTGTAAGTAGTATAATAAAGTGGTGTTTTACATGTACAGTGGATGGATGTGTGAGTGCATCGAGAAAGGAGGAGATAACTTTTTTTGTTGTTGTTAATAAGGGCGAGATATCTTACTGCTATTATTTTCTAGTAAATGTGTATAAACTAATAAATCTAATAGATATGAGATGTGTAAATTTGTTGACTATCAATGAAGGTAACAAATAGTTATTTCACTATAAAATTTTATAAAAAATAATAAACTTCTAACTTAACGATATTACAATAAGAATGTAACTTTTGGATGTTGGGTTTTGAGATCCATGAAATTCGTTTTGTTGATTTCCCAGTGTAGAACATAGTGTAGAGTTAGAAGCAACACGATTATGCAGAACGGATGGTCTTTAGATAACTTTAACTAATGAATAAAACTTAACTTTTGAAATATAATTAAGGGGAAGTGGTAGGGTAAGAATTTCAAAATACCAAACCTACAAACATCATATTTTATCACCATTGATACAAATCATATCATCCCTATATGATTATAAGACGCGAGATTTATAATTTTTTTTGTCGTAACCCATCACATAATTAAGTAATGTGAGTTCGATAGAAATCACATATGTATTGTAACATCCCGAACCTTTTCTCGACGAAGGTATTGTCCGTTTTGGACCTCTACACCCGCACGAATTTTGACTTGGGGTGCAATTCAATGTGACTTCCCATAAGGTCACCCATCCTTGTTGTACTCCACACTGAGCACGTTTAACTTCGGAGTTCTTGATAACTCCTCCATTTCACCCCCAAAACGCGTCGTGTCAGTTAAGGTCGGTTTCTTACTTATGAACCATGGATCTCTCTTGTACTTTGTCGATGTGGGATTTGCCTAAGGTGTTACATACCCCGCCCCCCGGGGACTCAACCCTCGTTGAGGTTTGCCACACCATCGTTCTAGAGGGACGCGGAGAGGCTCTGATACCACTTGTAACATCTCGAATCTTTTCTCGACAAAGATATTGTCCGCTTTGGTCCTCTACACCCGCACGGATTTCAACTTGGGGTGCAATTCAAGGTGACTTCTTATAAGGTCACTCATCCTTATTGTACACCACACTGAGCACATTTAACTTCGGAGTTCCCATAAGACCACTCATCCTTCTTGTACTCCATTTCACTCCAAAACGCGTCATGTTAGCTAAAGTCGAATTCTTACTTATAAACTATGAATCTCTTCCGTGCTTTGTCGATATGGAATTTGCCGGTGTTACTTGTATTCTTATTATTCATGTTTATCTTCTCTCGGTTTCTATAAAAGCAGAAATGCTTGGTTGCTTTTCTTGGCTTTGACCTTTTCATCCCCCTCGGTTCTACTTCTTTTTCTGTTCTTTATGTTTCTACTTTCCAGCATTAACCCTTATTACCCAACAGGGATCGATCGGTAAAACATTTAGTCATTTACATTCAAATGAAATGATTAAAAATGAATATATATTCTTTTGCTTCTCTCTTATTATTATTATTTTTCCCTTTTTGTTGTCAAAGGCAGACCTTCTCTCTTCTTGTTTCTCAATGCATTCCTACTTTTAAAAAAATAGTATATAGTTGTTGGTTACTATTTATCAAGGATTGTGAAACTGTATCAGAAGTTATACTAAAAAAAAGTCATTGATGATAAAATATACTAAAATCGTAATTTAACCGTAGTCCAATCATTATCTACCACTAAAATCACTTACCATTTTAAATTCACAATTCACTATTTTCAAATTCGACCGACCAATTCGATAGAATTTCTCTATTTATTATAAAACTATTACATAATCAACCGCGTACACAAACCAATTAGTAACAGTCATTATTTTACTTTTTGTATTTGAGATTATCATTTCCATTCTTTTTAATATTTTCAGGAGTGATCGAGTAGTTGACCGGTCAAAAGGAGGGGGTTGAAGAGGCCGGGGCTTTAACAGACCATGTTCCTTGCTACCAAAGGGACGCACATCATCACACGTGGCACCTCGGAGGTGTAAGCGTTACACCGACCCGGTTCCCCGGCTTCCCCCATTCCCCATTTGTTTTTTTTTTTTCAATCAATCAATCAATCAAATTGTTAATTATTATAAACGTACGGCTTCTGTGTCGTCGTCGGCGAGGGAAATCGGAATGGCGAGCTAGAATAGATGGTGTAGTTTCGAGTTTCAGGTGAGGTCATTGGCGGTTACACTGGAGTCAATTCGGTTATGGTCTTTGTGTATATAGCTTCAATCCATACGTTTACCCTCGTTGGATTACACTTGTACATATATATTATAGGTATAATTAACCGATGCATGAAAAGCTCTATTGGATGTTGCAGCTTTCTATGGACCTCCTAGAAAAGCATGGAAACAAAAGAGACTGATCAAGTGGTGCAACTGAAAGGGAGGAAGGATGATCTCACCGTTCTTTACTTATCGAGAGTACTTGTTCGTTTCAATATTGGAAATTTCAATTATGAAAACAAAATTTGGTGATTTTGAGGATTTGAATTCGAGAATTTTTTGGTCAAATCGTACTTACGATATCATGTCATAATTCGATTCAATTGAAAAATATTGAAACGGTTGGTATAGAGGCTCAAATTAATATTAATCTTGTACCTCACTTTCATACATAGCATATGGAAAGAAGACCTCCATCGTTTTCCTAATAAGGTCGTCCTGTGTTAGGCCCGATTTTTATGAGTATTTTTTCATTTCAAAAAATGAAACACATCAAACTCCTTTATAAGTCAGAGTTTTACAAAAAAACTAATAAGAAGTATTGTTCTGCAAAAATCTGTTTTGAAAATACAAGATTTTACATACAGTGGTTTTCAATTTGTTCCCGTAAAATATAGTTTTCTTTTATCTATATTATTTTAAATCTAAGAAAAATTAGAAAATGATATTTTTTATATAGTAAAATTCTACAAGATCTTTTTACTATTTTCTATTTTCCTAATAATATGTTAAAATATATTTTTTTAGTGATTTTATTTTATCACTTATATTATAAGAAATCGATTTGCTAGTTTATCAGCCAAATACAAAGTGAAAGATCAGTTTGTAAGAGCCTCAATTTATTTTGCAAAACTAAACTAACCCATATGTAGCTAAGAAACCGTTGTTTAGTGGCTAATAATTAGTTAATTACAAAGAAGAAGATAGAATCTTATTAACGTTTTGAGAGGGAGATGCGATCTGATCGTCCTATACTAACTCCTACGTAGCAAGCAGATCTGATCATAATTAGATAGTCGGTACTAACTGATAAAATATACCTAATATCCTTCCCAAATTATTAAGAATATTATTATAATTAACTATTCTTTGATTAGGGAGAGCACACACACTAGCTAGCTAGCTAATTAATTTGGGTGGTTGGCAACTGTGTACTATGATCTTATTAGATTGCCCCCCACACACGACATATGCCTCAGTAACCCACTTGCTCATAACTATTATTGCTGCTAATTAATTGATTAAGTCTTGGTGTCAACGTACTAACATATTCCCTACCGTTCATGATTAACATTAATATTACATTTATTATCAACTTGCTGCATCAGAAAAGATGCCCTTCCAACAAAGTTTTTTTTTTATAATGGTGATGCTTACATTATAAAGGAAAAACAGAGCACAAAAGTCCCAACTCAAAACACATCGCAAAGGAAAAACAAAGACACAACGGGGGCACGAGCAGTGCCGCCCCATCAACAACACCCACCAAACCAAAAGAAAATAAAACAAAAGATTGCTGGGCAAACCGAGAAGCCACTGCAACCTAAGAAACACAACAAAGAGAAAGATAGCCTCTGCAACCAAAGATAAAAAGAAAGACAGCACTCTCGAAAAAAGAAAAAAGAAAAACAAAAGGTTGCTGGGCAAGCCGAGAAGCCCCTGCAACCAACCAGAAGAACAAAGCAATGAAAAAGCCAGCACTCTCACACACAGAAACTCTCCAAAGCAAAGAAGACGGCAGCTCGGAACGGGTACAACAGAAGCAACAAACAACAACCCAATCATACTTCACACTGCCCATCGCTGATTGTCCAGGAAAACTACACCCGACATCCAGTCCGCCCAGCAACCACGCCAGGATCCTAACGCTTCCAAACGAAGATCAAGTGCCTGAAAAGATCAAACTTGTTGCAAGAACAAACTCATCCAAACAGTAGCTAGACTCCTTTCAACCTTGCC